TTTATATCTTTGTTTGAAGCCTGAAATGTGGCAAAAGGTTGAAAAGTTCAACGGGGGCCGAATACTTTCACAAGGCACTGTATGACTGATTAATTAAAAAAAGCAGGAAAATAAACTTTACCAGTCAATCCTTTATATTTATCCTAATATATCTTAGTTAAATTTTGATACAGAGTAGAGCTGCTATTTGTAACCCGGGTCTGGTCCGGCCCGACCCGAAATTCAGGCTGGGTTGGGCCAAAATAATGTGCTTGATGGGTGGGCCGGGTCAGTCTCGGGCTTTTGATGTGGTTTTACGAATCAGCACAGAAAACTAAATATGAATGCACAATATAAAATTGTGTTAATCTACTTGTAGAGGAGGAGGCAGGTCCAACCAGCAGGTTGAAAGAGGTAGAAAAAAAAAAAAAAAAAGTCCCGTTAAACTCGGATGGATCAGCTGATCACCAGCCGCGTGTGTCTCTGCAGCTGCTATCATCTGCGGTGAAGGAAGCAACATCTACAAAAGCTGAAGCGAGCAGCGCGTTCAATTAAAATAGTCTTGTTCTATATTTTTCAAATAATTTTACACTCTAAATATTTTTGATCATCTGTATGTATAATAGCCTATCTTTAGAGTTGATATCTTTTTCTTTTTTTTTTTAGACTATTTGTTTTGTATGTTAATATCCATTTGGTGAAACAAGAAATCTCATCTCTTCCTTTTTTGAAAAATGTTTTTAAAATATCATGTCAAACTGATTTGCTTATAAAAGCAGTAAATGATTAATTAAAAAAAAAGTCAAGTTTGTTTTCTTCGGGTTCGGGCCTGTAATTACGGTTAAATGATCGGGTCTGATTCGGAAAAAAAGCCTATGGGCTTGGGCCGGGTTGGAGCTCTAATACAGAGGTGAGTGGAGAACACAGATGAGTGTTTGACGGTACAACTCTTTAAAATCAACACCATCTGTTTAAAAAACAGCCAGCTGTTTTCAAAAGTTTTTACGATGAACACAACAGTGGAATGAACACCAGCTACATTTAAGTATAGTACATACTTGAAAGTTTTTTTTTTGTTGCACAGAATATTATTTTCTACCTTTTTAAAAAAAAAAAATTATTTATTTATTTATTCTTTGTAAAGTATCGTTGGTAGCCTGGAGTGCTTTTAACCACAGAGCGATTGTGATTTTGAAACTGGCTTTTAAAAACCCTGGTATACTTTAAAACCAGACAACCAGCTTGTGCTTACTTTACTTACCCACAGATTCTAACCAACCAGTGAAGGTGCACCAATAAAATAAATACACAATAAGCAATACATTGATTCCATTTTTTTTTTTTTTTTTTTTTTTACAAAAATCCCACTTAAAGTATGTGTAGATAGTGTAAAATAAAACTCACTGAACCCGTTTCCTTTTTGTCTTTTGTCAAACATTTCTAACGTATCTTCACATTCTGTAAATGTTTAAGGGTCAAGTCCTTTATAGCTGCTCTTAAACTGTTTTGTAAAGAAAATGTAATGTAATGTTATGATGCTATGGTGTTGTAAGTTTATAATCTGTTAATTCCTAACCACAGCTAACACTGCAACAAGATAACAGACTTTAGATTAAGTGTAAATGGTAAATCTAAAATTTGTCATTAACCTTTTGACACTTAATTTCTTTCGACTGTGAATTCTTTTGTTTGCTTGGCCAATAGAAAAGAAGAATTAGATGTTTTCCTGTTTATCCACAGGTCTACCCTGACTTCTTGCACTACAAGGGGGGCATCTACCACTACACGGGCCTCACAGACCCCTTTAACCCCTTTGAACTGACCAACCATGCAGTGCTGCTCGTAGGCTACGGCCGCTGCCAGAAAACCGGACAGAAGTACTGGATTGTCAAAAACAGCTGGGGCACCGATTGGGGCGAGGACGGCTACTTTCGAATTCGCCGAGGCAGCGACGAGTGCGCCATCGAGAGCATCGCTGTCGCTGCCAAACCCATCCCCAAACTGTAGAGGCTCAAAGATCAGGACACGAGAGCCTTAATGATTCTGAGGCACCTACACTGAATGTTCTCTTTGTGTAGCTTGTTCTTTGGATGTGAAAGTTTTAAGTTGAAGTCTTTATTGTTTGGAAACGAGACTTTATTTATCACTTAATCTTAAGTGAAATTGGCCTGAAATGTGCACATTAATTTACTGTTGTTTTTGGTCGGAAACCTGAATCTAAACTTCGATTGTAAATGTTCATTTGAACATTATTGGATGAATCTAAACTATTTAATGTTATGAATTCTTAAAAAAATATATAATTTTATTTTTTTTTTGTTCTTTACCAGTTGTTAAATTCTTAAACCTTTACAGTAGTTGTTGTAAACTATTTGCTGTAAACAGAAAAAAACTGGAGAAACTTTTACCAGGGTAAAGTATTTTGACTCTTGGTTACTGTAACTGATCAGTATTTTTTTTATATATATTGGACAGGTGATATTAAAAGTTGTATGGTAAAAGTAATATTTTACAAGTATTTTCACACATTAGTTACCAGTAATTTAAGTGCATTTTAATTGATAAAACTTTCAGTGATGGAACAGTTTTGATGCTGAATGTTGGGAATTCACTCGATCAGCCTTTTTCTTTTATTCCCCTCATGTTTGATTACTTCAATCACTTTTTAAGTATTAAATTTAAGCAGTTGCTGCCTATGTAAACCACTAAAGGGATTGTTGCGTACAGTGACGGGTTGTAACATTTGAATATTCGGTTCGATTGTCCAGTGCAGGACTTGAATCTTTCTCTGTCTCAGGGAATCACAGTGGAGAATTGATGTTTTCAATGTCCTTGCATGAAACCGACTCAATGGCTCATTATAGATTGTTGCGAAATGAGCTTTTAAATGGAATTTATCAATAAAGGGATGCTACACATTTGTTTTGTTCGCTTTGTTTAAATGAATTTACCAGTTTAGTCTTTGTACTGGCAGAAAACAACAGACTGAGATTATAAATTCTTTATAATGCTGTTTATCCCTTTTTAGGATTGTTTACATTTTGACTTTGTTCAGTTTACAGTTTTAAAAGTCAAAGGGTTTTGTATTTTATGCAATGTCATTTGACATTTTGAAGATCATCTTTTTAAAGACTGTATACAAGTTTGTGGAGTCCCTTAGAATTCTTATGACGCATGAAGTTAACTGACCTTTGACCTTTTTAGTTACTAATGTGCATGAATAAACTAAAGCACCCCATGCCACACTACATTAATACCTATTTCCAATATTCAACGTCAGTGCTGAACTTGTTCTTTTTGTCCTTTACGCCTTCTTTTTTGTTTACTTTTATGCAGAAATTAATTTATAAATTTGTTTTATTAGTGTTTTACTTTGTGATGGCAAAATGTCCTCCATGTGCAATGCTGGGTGTCGAAATGACTGCAGGGCGCAGCTGAAACGGGTTCATGGGAACACTGTTAGGACGAAGTGTGTTTCAAAGAACCAGAAGTAGGGATATCTAGACCGCAATGCATCACAAAATGACTTGAGCATGACGCATGTGCATTGGTATCCATGAAAATGTCAATGCCCTCGAGATGAAACGGCTCCATCTTCTTCAAAGTGGTTGTAATCGGCCAGTACAGCCATCTTGATATGATCATCTCAAACATCAAAATCAACGTTTATTTATAGAACCCTGTCCACCAGCCAAAATGTGCATAAACTGCTGCACAACACAAAAGGTACAAACAAAACTATACAAAAATGCCAGAAATCCACTAGGCATTAAAAGTCTGCCAGAATAAAAAATGTTTGGAAATTAGATTTTAAAAAGGCCCAGATCAATGATGGAGCGCAAGTCCTGAGGTATAGTCTGGGTGTGGTGACTGGAAGCCAATGGAGAGAAAATAAAACTGGAAAAAAATATATATATATCTCACATGTGGGAGTGTGGGTTAAAAGATGGTCCACAGGATTTTGGACAACTTGAAGACGTCTGATGGAGGATTGGGAGATTCCTACATACAGAGCATTGAAGTAGTCAAGCCTAGAGCTGATAAATGCATGACTTAACTTTGGTTAAAATGTGTAGATGATAAAATCTTGCCTTGATGACAGAGTATATACTTGTTGAACTTCAAATCCTTGTCAAAGTTCACCTCAAATTTTTTAACTGGGTCTGAACTTGGATGTGAGAGCACCAAAGTTATAAGGAGGATCATCACCAAAAAAGATGCACTCCGTTTTTCCCTTCATTTAAAAACAGAAAATGTTGGTGAAACTATTTATTGTCGGCAATACAATCAACAAAATGAATGTGAGGATTAATACTTTCAGGCTTCAATGGTAAATGAATGAGGAAAGAATGGAGCGTGAGATTGACAGACAGATTGGTGCAGTATTGCAGACTCTGTACTGGTCCGTTGTGGTGAAGAGGGAGCTGAGCTGTAAGGCAAAGCTCTCTGTTTACCAGCCAGTCTATGTTCCTACCCTCACCTATGGTCACGAGCTCTGGGTAGTGACTGAAAGAATGAGATTGCGGATACAGGCGGTTGAAATGAGTTTCCTCCGCAGGGTAGCTGGACTCTCCCTTAGAGACAGGGTGAGAAGTTCAGTTATCCAGGAGAGACTCAGAGTAGAACCGCTACTCCTCCACATTGAGAGGAGCCAGTTGAGGTTGTTCAGTCATCTGGTAAGGATGCCCCATGGGCGCCTTCCTAGGGAGGTGCTTTGGGCATGTCCAACTGGGAGAAGACCCCAGGGAAGACCCAGGACACGCTGGAGAGACTATGTCTCTCAGTTGGCCTGGAAACGCCTTGGGGTCCTTCCAGAAGATCTAGAAGAGGTGGCTGTAGAAAGAGATGTCTGGACCTCCCTGCTCAAGCTGCTGCCCCCGCAATCTGACTTCGGAACAAGCGGTAGATGATGGATGGATGGATAGATAGATGGATGGTAAATTAGTTTGTAGGTTGTCCGCATAGCAGTGAAAAGGAAAGTGGTGTCTGGCTGTAACTGATTCAAGTGGCAGCATATAAAAAGAAAAAAGCGAGGACCAAGAATAAAGCCTTGGGGCACACCACAAGTAAGAGGGGCAGTAGCACAAAACAGAGTGCCCATCATGACATCCAAAGCTCTGTTGGTCATGTCGGAGGTGAATCACTTGAGAGCTGAACCAGATATACCAACCAAGTGGTGAAGACGAGTCAGAAGGGCAGCATGGTCCACTGTGTTAAAAGCAGCTGTAGGGTCCAGCAGCACCAAAGCAACAGGATCTTTAGGCTCCATTGACATGACAATATCATTATGGAGATTTAACAGGGCTGACTCAGTACTGTGACAAGTTCTAAATTTTGGGGTTCCTAGGTTTGCACCCATAATCACTTTCTCCACAGCTGCTGATCATTTCAATCATCCACCATTCCAAACTTGCACCTGATTTGGAAGACTGCTCTGCTGAGTATTTAAACTCCTGCCAGACTTTCATCCGACGCTGGAACATTATTATGCCTTCTGTGTCTTCTGAGACCTCCTCGCTCCTTGTGACCTCGTCATCATTCTGTTCCTGCAATCACCAAACATCAGCCTGGATCAACATACTGAGCACCTCAACCTGTTCCTCTCTCCAACAATGTTCACCCCTTCTGTATCACACTTCACCCTCCTCTGGAAACCTAGGACTTTGTTTTCTCCCTCCTCTCCAACACGACCTGTAAAACACAAGAACCCAGAATGCTCCTTAAACTTTTTGTAGCTAAATCACTTTACTTTTTTACTCCCAACTCTGTGTCTTATCAATCTGCTAACTTGGGGTCAAATATACTTAACACCATGTTATAAATCCAGACTGAATTTTTTCATAAATGTCATGTTTTGCTAAGACGAGCTGTAACTGCATTTTAAAACTTTTTCCAAAGCTTTAACTAAAACAGGCAAAGATCTCACATTTGATCACATGTATGGGTCAACGTGAGGTTTTTAGAGAAGGGGTCACAGCGTGTTTAAAAGCAGCAGGGACAGTTCCTAAACTAAGGCAAGAGTTTAAACAAGTCAAGATACAAAAACCTACAGTATTCAAAACCTATTTCAAAAACGTAGAAGACAGAATGTCCAGCGGGCAGTTGGCGAGCTTCATGTGTTGAACATGGAGGAACGAGAGAAACTGGTTCAAACACAACCGAAGCCTCAGCAGCATCAAAGACATCAGGAGCAGCAGTAGAACCAGTAACCTGTCTGACTGGTGCCACTTCATCTGGGAAGAAATAAAGGACATTCTCACAGTTAACAGCTGTAACATCTGGTAGAACGCAACTGAGAGGGTCAACAACAGAGTAACTGTGTTAAATATCCCTGCAGGACAATGGCTACTGTTGATCAGACTGAGGTCTGGGGTTTGAATTAGATTAATCCAAGACACGTTACTCCTTAAACTATCTGAGATCTGTTTTCAAAATTAATTTAATGGTGATGTGTAATCAACGACGTGCCTATTTTTTCTCTAAAATGTCTGCAGCATGAAGCTTCCACTGCCATGCTTCACTGTAGGAATGATGTTCTGCTATTTGTTTTTCTTGCTGGAAGTTTCAGCGTGACTGTTTTCTTTATCTGAACAGAGCACTTGAACCAAAACCATCTTTAAAATGTCTTGATTTTTGTTGGGGACTGCATGAAGGCTTCGGTTCGCTTGTTTGGGCTTTATGACCCGGATCCTTCCAGCCACCAGTCTCAGGCCGAAGGTGAGGTCTGCTCCCAGCTTTGTCGACTGGACACGGGATTCAGATTGCTTCTCCTTGCCCATTCTCGTTTCTTTCAAAGGACGAAGTCTATGTTTCCACTCTCAGTATTCCTTACAGTTATTATCAGTTCTTGTCAGTGATGAATATTTTAGTCTGGGTGCTAACAGAAAAAGAAGTGGTGTCTCCAGAAAGTTAAACCTCAGGGAGAACCTTAAAAAAAGGAAAAAGTTGGAAAGGAAAAAAAGGGGGAAGTTGTTTAACAAGAATTTAACAAGATTAACACTTAAAAACAATTATTTGTTTGCTTGAAATTATAAAAAAGGTGTGTCTCA